GGCCTGTAGAATCCATAATTTCAAACAGTTCCAGGATTGGGCTACTAGTTCAAAAGTTACAGCCCTTTGAATTTTTTTTTGACATTGGTTTCTAGTCTATAACTTTTTATTCAGAAGTCTGATCGAAAAAGTACGAATTATTTTGGATTCTACGCACCAAAAATAATAAGAAAAAGTGTTTTCCCGAGAAATCTTGGTGCAGTCGATTTTTGGTAAAAAAGGAAGGTTTTACACTGCCTTTTTTTGAGGCACGAAAAAAAAGTTGTCTCAGATAAACCCGGAAAAAAAATTTCTTATAGAATGTGGCCTGTAGAATCCATAATTTCAAACAGTTCCAAGATTGGACAACTAGTTCAAAAGTTACAGCCCTTTGAATTTTTTTCTATATTGGTTTCTAGTCTATAACTTTTTATTGAGAGGTCTGATCGAAAAAGTACGAATTGTTTTGGATTCTACACACCAAAATTAATAAGAAAAAGTGTTTTCCCGAGAAATTTTGGTGTAGTCGATTTTTGGTTAAAAAGGAAGGTTATACACTGCCTTTTTTTGAAGCCGGAAAAAAAAATTGTCTCAGAACGACCCGGAAAATAAATTTTCTTATAGAATGTGGCCTGTAGAATCCATAATTTCAAACAGTTCCAAGATTGGGCTACTAGTTCCAAAGTTACAACCCTTTGAATTTTTTTTCGACATTGGTTTCTAGTCTAAAACTTTTTATTGAGAAGTCTGATCCAAAAAGTACGAATTGTTTTGGATTCTACGCACCAAAATTAATAAGAAAACAAATACTATGCGAAGTATTGGAATACTTCTCAAGGTCTTCAAATACCTTGCGAAGTATTCGAATACTTTACGAAGTATCCAAATACTTTGTGAAGTATTCGAATACTAATTATTTGTGAAAGTATTTGAGTTACAATAATACAAATACTGCTTCCATAAAAGTATTTAATTGCAAAGTATTTCAATTCTTTTAAGGATTTGAATATTAAAAAGTATTTACAAAATCGAATACTGCCCAGCTCTGACTATTCTCTTCGTTTTTTTGCAAATTTGATTATAATATTAATTGCATGCGCTTTTAAACTGAATTTGAACCTGCTGCCGCCCTCTGTAGTTCGGATATAACATTAATTAAAACCGGAACCTCTCCGGAAATCATCTACCTGTAGTAGCTGCTTCCATCTGGTGTCCCCTTTCGTGTAACAAAAAAACGAGCTAAAGTACGAAAAAACGTCATTACATTGAAATCTTTAGCCGGCTAAGGAAGTTTGGTGAATAGAAATTGTTTTCAGTATTAATAAAAATGAGTGATGTGTCCGAGTGTCTCAACGCCGTGAAAGAACTCAATTTATCGAATGACAAAAAGGTATACAATTTTTCTTATGTTAAATCAACATTTATCAAGCGTTTGTAAATTACAACAAAAAAGAACACGACACGTAGACATTCAAAGCATAATTACAATTCCATAAATTGGAAGATTCCAATATGCAAGCACTGAATTAAAAGTAGGCCCTATTGTATGATGCAAGACAAACGTTTATTTCGATTTGAACCGGAACCAAATTTCTTGGTTATGATTTCTAGGTGCTGACAGCATGTCCCGAATTGCAGGTGTAATTATGGTACCCGAAATGGTACCTCTATTGCTCACGTTTGATTTGGGCAATGTAAAAACACATTTTATTGCATCATACTTATCACCACATGGGCAGGTACTTTTTCGAGTTGTAGGTACCGGCAGCGGTGTCTGATGCAATATTTAAATTTTAAAAAAAGGTATAAGATTTTTTAATAACGTATGTACGTAAAATTTTGGGAAATTCCCTTTTGTTTATCAGCTTTGAGCGTTGCGTTATCATTTGCTAATAGATAAGGACGATGCGGTTTTTCCTTCTACCCACTCTGTTTATGATCTTTGTACATCGGAATTTAAAAAAAAATAATATTTTCATTTCAAAAGCGTTGACTAAACACAGAACCGCACGATTTTTCTTCCCAGTCAAATGAAATTTTT